GAATATTCAAAAATTCTGACCCATCCAGAGCTAGAACCACTGCACAAGTTCATCTATTATGTCAACATCAGGCAGAAACACAGTATCTTGGAGGTGGGAGAAAATTTTGGAAGCTTAGTACTAGAATTGTACCATTACCTTATCCATATCAGCGCAGAGACTGGCATTTTAATGTAGTGTTGATATCAGCAATAGAGAATACTGACATCTTGATCCTTTTTTCTGACATGGATGCTACTGACTTATGTGTGCATGCAAGCAAGTGGATGGAATTTAACTAATGGTACTGGTTTTTCAGTATGCCACAGATAGGCACAGATATTGCAGCATAGAAACAATGTAAACCGCACTCTAACAGGAGCCCCTTACCTGAATAGCTGAGTCAGGCTTCTTTGAGTAATCACTCATCTCCTGCTGTGTAGTCAGTTATAGTCTGAGTTAATGTTAGTCCAGGATGTTATTGATGTAATGAACATTAGACGTATAGAAGGAACCACTGCTCTCTTGAGGTAACAAAAGCTTTTAGGCTCAGGTCACGCTTTACATACATATATACATACGTATGGCTGCTGTCGGAAGAAAACCTCGTATGTCCGTTTTGAAAATACCTGTTGACCTTTACATTGTTTATAAATTTCATGATGAATGGACCAAAAGACTGGTTCCATTGACTTACATTAAAAGTAAAGTAGGTTTTCTTCCAACAACAGTGATATATATATATATATATATATATATATATATACGTAACTTTCTGATGACAGGACAGATCAAATTACTTCATGCACGCAGCATCAGAGAGACGTCATTTCATTGCCAGCAGAAACCATTAGGAGCCTAATGAAAGCTTTTCTACAGTGGGATTGAACACTGCTGTCCCACGTGAGGGACGAGTAACTTAACCATTCGGGTGATTGTCCAATTACAAAACATGTGCGCTGTTAAAAAATAACTTCATCCTGAACTACAAGCCTGTAAAAATGCATCAAAATTAGGATTGTTCTCACACTCAGTATAATGTTTTAAGTGTGCTAGGTAGTAGCGGCTACTGTCACAACAGACTTATTTAATAACTAGAACAAAATCAAAGAAAAATATATATTCATGCTTGTCGGCCTGCATAAAAATAAATATGTATTTACATTCTGCAGTGAAGACTTTAATGACTTGACCTCTACACTCTTAAAAATATGGTTCTTTAAAGGTTCTTTAGTAAAGGGAATGTTTCTATTTAGAAACAAAAGCACAAACAAATACTACCCACCCCCCACCCCCCACTCCAGCCCCCCTACCCACACACACACACACATGGGACTTACAAAAAAGAACCGATCATAGATACAGCACAGGACACATGACATTTGAGTTACATCATTCACAACTTAAACACATCTTATATATAAGCGAACGCAAGGGTCTGTGAAGATATTCCATCAAGAGTTCTGGGGGCAGTATTGCTAATTCTTGTAGATGATGGTTCCAGATAGAAGATATCCAATAAGCTATAGAGCCAGTGACATATGGACAGGATGTGAGGGGGTAGTTAATGCTGGACGTTAACTTTTTTGCTGCAGTTAAACCAGCCAGCCATATCTTCCAGAATCTTTCTGTAATGGGGAATTTAGAGTTATCATGTATCATCAAGTAAATGACGTTCAGGGCCCATGGGGAAGTATGTCTTGGTCAGAGAAGAGATAGAATCAACAACCTCCTCCCAAAAAGCATAAATTTCCACAAAAAAAATCCCACATAATGTGCATAAAACCCCCTCCGAGTCCCATGTGGACAGAAAGAACAGAAGGGGTGAGGGCTTAAACCCATCAAGTGTCTTTTCCTGGGTGTCAGATAAGCCCTGTGGCATATTTTCAGATGGATGAATTGATGATTGGGGTTATGCGACGGCCTAAAAACATTAGCCCAATGCCGTTTCCCAGTTTCCCTGCCTTCCCTTCTGTTCCATAACTCTATCCCATTCCTTTTGCAGAGAAATATTTACAGATACATGTGACATTTAGACATTTACTTGGCATAGATAAAAGATACTATTCTTTTGGGAGCCTCTGTGATCCAACTAATTATTTGATGGTCTTTCAAGTCTGAACCCCATTTGACACTGTGATTTCAGTGAAAAATAAATATATATTTATTTGTTTGTGTAGGCTTTATAGAAAAGGTTCTTGAGGTAACTGAGTGTTTCTCAGCCTTTCACTGCACAAAAATGTGCAGTTCTGATGTAAAGAGCTGTTAGTAGTTCATTTCTTTTTGCACAATAGTAAAAGGTGCTTTTATAATTTTGTATTTTGCTATTTGCTTGAAGAAAAGGTTGGTTAGATTTTTGTTTACACATCCAAAAAAAAGGTCTGTACTTGCATCACTTCAAGTCAGGGGCACACAGTATTTTTAAAAATAAATTATTGTTTCTCATTCTCATCATAATATCCAACAGTTTTGTTGGACATCACGTATGTGCTCATTGTACAGCTCTAATATGTATGTAAATAACTCAGTATACAAAACTATAAAGCCATTTGCTTAGGAAATCCTATTTTTGTTTATTACCAATGCACATGAATTGCTATATGCAATTAGTATATACAATAATATATGTACCGTTATTACCAAATTAATAGTGTCGGTATCTGTCCTCAGTATCAGCAGATTCTTAGGAATATTGATGAATACAGTGCCGATTTCTGGTTACAGATATGCAGAAATAATACACATTTGATTACAGGTGTTAAACTACAGCTCATACAATATAAAACCACCCACAGAATACATTACACTGGTCAAAAGATGTTTAAAAAATGGGATTTACCAGCACTGAAATCTGTTCTCATTGCACACAGAATACTACAGATAATTATATCCATGTCATGTGGCACTGTACACCTATAAAACATTTTTGGCAAGAAATTATTAATCAATTAGCGCACTGTTTAAATATCACTATTCCCCTATCCCCAGAACTATGTCTGTTAGGAGACATATCAACAATCATTTTGACAAAGAAAACTCCCACCACCCTACTCACAGCCCTAACCATCGCCAAGAAAACCATCCTCATGAACCGGAAGACAAAAAACACCATTACTGTCACTCATTGGAAAAATTTACTAATGGATCATATATCTGTGGAAAAAATATCTGCTTCCATCAAACACAAAAATACTCAGTTTGACTCGACCTGGACGCCAGTTATTAACATCTTACAACAGTAATTTTCCCACTGAATCAACTTTACTGGAGAAGCTGATATACTGAGATCCAATAGCCAGTTCCAGACTACTCTATATAATCATAAACTCTCCCCCCTTTATTACCACACCCACAAACACACACACGCACACACACAGAGAATTCTATCGCTATACAACAAAGCTAATTCTTATGACGCTACTGGTGTTGTGAACATTTGCTTTTCATCAAGTCCAATGCTTAACTTGTCATTATTCTTACTAACATAATTAGTAATTTTATGTATTTTTTTTTCTTCTTCTTTTCTAGTTTTTGTCTATCTATCTGTTTGTTTTTGCTTATATATCCTCCCTCATGAATGTGTTACAAATAAAAATGTTTTATAAAAATAAAAAGGTTTTAATAGTCCTCCGATGAGGGGGGGTGGTGGCGAGCAAAATAAATAAATAAATAAATAAATAAATAAAGGAATACTGATGGATGAAAACACAGAAATACTGCAAAATTGTGTTTTCTCCCAAAGGATGCACCACAGTGCTACAGCATATTTCATAAGATGACAACAGTAAATGCTAGTTTGAGGATGGAATGCCCCTTTAACTCTTAATGGATGCTTACATATAAAAATAAGTCAGACACTGTAGAACAGTCTTGTCTAGGTGTAATTTTGAATTAGGCTGCTACTGCAACTGATTGTGACATTCTTTGTCTGCCATGTTTTATGTCTTATGTTCATCTTACTGTGGCATGATTGTGATATGTATCTTATTGGTGAAGTTGTTGCCGAGGCCCAGCACTAATGACGAGTCTGAGCTTTTGCAGGAAGACAAATCATCCTGCCAGTTGCAGCGTGTCCTGATTGAGTGTCTAAACGCATGAAATGAAGAAATTATTAGAATGTTACTGAGTCACACTCGCTCAGACAAGCACAGACAGAGAGAAAAAAGTCATGGAATTAGAGACTAAAAAAAAAGGTGTCCCTGTCACTTCTGTTACCTTGACAACCCGATTCATATTCTCTGTCACATGACGCATCCTCGACTCGCCTTGTCAGTTCCACCGTGAGTGAGGATGACATCACTGTAAATGAACTAATAAAGAAATGCATAATGCATCGGAATATAACATAATTAACTGCTTAATCTCCTTCACACACACATACACACATTAAGCGGCTGTCCCGTCTGGGAGAGACAGGACATTATTAATGTAGGTAATATTGTGTGACCTGTGGTTCGGCGCTTTGTGCTTCAAAAATAATGAGATTATTAAATGTGCATATGAGAGGATTTGCAGTATGAGTAGACTGAGAGGAGCAGAGCAGAGGCCAGCGAAGAATAGTTTTGGGTGCTGAATTAATATGCTTTCTCAATAGGGTAGATAGAGGAGCTTGTGATTTTGATTTGGATCAGTAAATAAGCAAAGCTTGAAAAAAACAACAGACAAAAGTAATTTGTGACTCAGGCTTTGATCAAGATCAGTAAAGAGGCAAAGCTTGAACAAAGAAGAGAGACAACAGGACTAACTGAAAACAAGTTTAAGAGGTGCTTTACTGAAGGTTAAAAGCAAACAAAATACAGAAGAGAGAAATAAAAGTTTAGTAAAGGACAGTGCAGATGGAAAAAACAGTAACATTTAGTAAAATAACAAGAGTAAACAAAAAATGACTGACATTAAAACTGAATATTTAATCCCAAGAAGGCACTTATTTTGTTTAAATACAGTATTAAATAAGTGTGTTTTAAAATGTTTTTAAAAGAATATCAAGCTCTTTCTTTTACCATGGTTATTTTTCTTGACAGTGCCTGCTGCCAAATGACAGAAGTTATGAAGTCATGACCTTGAAAAGGCCATTTGTGGGAGGAAAGGAGTCTACAATGACCTGACGTAACCCCACCCTCATCCAATCAGAGTGGAAAAGAGGAGGAGCAACGATGCCAGACTCCGCCCCCTTACCTCCCGTCCCGCCTCTTGCCATTCTGAACTGCACGGCATCCACCAACTGCTCCCTTGGCAACTTTTCAGCCATTGCCCATGCTGACGACTGCCACGGTAACCAGTCGCTGTTTGTCATCATGGCCATTGCGTACAGTGCTGTGGCCTTCCTGGGCATTGCGGGCAACCTGGTGCTCATTCTGGTCATCGCACGCCAGCGAGAGCTCCACAATGTTACTAACGTTCTGATCGCCAACCTATCTATGTCTGACCTGCTGATGGCAATCATGTGCCTGCCCTTCACCTTTGTCTACACCTTCATGGACCACTGGGTGTTCGGCGCTGTCATGTGCAAACTCAACAGCCTTGTGCAGTGCTGCTCCGTCTCTGTCTCCATTTTCTCACTAGTGCTGATCGCTGTTGAACGGCACCAGCTCATCATACATCCCCGTGGGTGGCGCCCCAGCCTGTCCCAAGCCTGGCTGGGTGTCGCCTTCACCTGGACGCTGGCCCTGCTCACCGCCATGCCCTTCCTGCTCTTTTCCGTGGTGACGGACGCACCTCTCAGGCAGCTGCCGTCCATCTTCCAAGAGCATTACCGCGGCAAGGTTGTGTGTGTGGAAGAGTGGCCGTCCCGCGAGTTCAAGCTCACTTACACCTCCGCCATGCTGTTGCTGCAGTATCTCGTGCCGCTCTGCTTCATATTCATCTGTTACCTGAAGGTAAGGAGAGAGTTGGGCAGATCATGAGAGGGCAAAAATATAGCAGGGCCTAAACAGTTTATAGTGGTTAGCCGATGAATCAGCCAACATTGTTCCACAGATTTACTGCCATTGGAGGAAATCTTGCCCATAAACCACTATTGTTTCTTTAAACGTCATGTAAGAAATCCACTTTCAGAAACATGGTGCTGCTTCTAACTGCGCTAAAGACACGTTTGGGCACTTATCGAGCTCTTGTTTGAAAGTGTCACATTGTGAGAGTTCAAATTATGTTCATGTTTTAAGGTTACGTTTTGGGTTATGGTACAAGATTTATAGGTTTTGTATTATTTAAAGTTTTGTGAGTTTCTGTTGTTTTTTTAAAGAAACATGACAGCTGACGTCATCATAGTTGAAAGTTAAGAACTGACCGTGATGTTTGCCATTTGATGATTTTCAACTGACAATCATGTCAGTCATTAACGCACCATTAAACTTCAACTATCTGTAATTTTAGACCATACAAAATTTATATCAGTTCCTCAAAAACTGTATCTTGGTTGCAGCCTTAATATATAGTATTACTTCATCTTGTGCTAATAATTAATTACAAAGACGGAAGGTAATACATAAATTGTACAAATGTGACACACGTCATTGAATGTATATTTTTCAGTATCTTAAGTATGTTTTGGTCTAGAGGAGGGATCATCAGTCTTATACAAAAAGGCCCGGTGTGACCACAGGTTTTTATTCCAAGCAAGCAGAAGCACATCTAATTATCCTTGTTTAAGCTGGGGACCACAAACTGGCCCACGTGTCAAATTCAGTGTTTCTTTGTATGTTTCTCTATCTTTGTGAAAATACAGTGCAGAAATACAGTTCAAACATTTCCTGAATCTTTAGAGTCGCCCTTTTGATTCCATCTTATTACAAGATTGTACATGACTCACATTTGGAGTTGTGAGTCTACGAAGAGGGGTCGAGATAAACGTCATCTGCCTCTCACCGTGTGTAACTGGTGGACTCGTATGCCTGTCTACATTTTGTGTGAGACCATTGGACACTCAGGTAATCACTAAGGACATACCCATCATGTAGGAAACCCTTCATTCTTCATTCAGTGAATGTTCAGCTTGACATTTTATTTCTAAGACAAATACAAATTGTGACATTTATACATATGTATGAGTTTATTTTTAAAACAGAAAATGTCATTTAAATTATGCGATTTGCATGTGCGGAACTTCTTCAGTAATGTATGAAAAGCATCCCAGATGGCTCCTCGTGAAGCTGAGTGACAGCAAATGGCAAAGGGAGGCTACTTTGAAGATTGTTAAAAATATGTTGTATTTCACAGACTTGATGTCTTCACTGTTATTCTAAATGTGGAAATAGTTAAAATGAGTAGAACCCTTCTATGAGTAGGTGTGTCTAAACATTTGACTGGTACATAAAGAAGCCTTCTAGAAAGCCGCCACTGGCCACATTATGAAGTTGAAGGAATAAGACTTTACAGGTCACCCTCCTTTTGCAGAACAAGCTACTGATTCAGTCAGACATCTTCACATTCACATACCAAGTTGAGTGGATTGTGCTCTCTTCCAAGGATTCTACAAGGAAGTGGGTTCTTCCTCGCTCAAACTGACAGCACAGTGATGTGTATAGCTTTAGACAAGGATGGAGAATTGGATATGAGAGGAAAAAGCAAATGAAACAAAAGCCTTGAAAATAATCGTATCTAGATGTCTAGAAGTACTGTGTAGCCTTTGCTCTACATTGGGTCTGTGGGAAAGACAGCTGAAAACCAGCAATAAAACCGGCTGTAATATGCAAATGAGCCCTGCAGCCTCTTTCTGCAGGCCCCCCCCGCCATCAAAATGGAAATGAACTCAGACGTTTTTGATTACTATAATCAAATATTTTACCCATAACTTTGTTACTAGGTTAGCTAAGACACAATGTGCAACAAATGTTGCGATTCTGTGTTGACAACTGACAGCCCAAACAGCAGCTTCCCTTATGTCAATTTGCAGTATGTGGCAATATGCTGTGCAGTCCTGTTATGAGTTCACTGCTTGCATGTTGCAGAATTAGAAAAAAAACATTTTGCTAGGATGTTGCAAAATTTAGCATTTTACCAGATCAGTCACAACTCATTTGACTTATCAGCTAATTAACAAGCTCCTTATGAGTGTAACAATGTGTGTCAGAGCAAGGCAAACACCAGTCTGTGCCGTCTTCCTGGACTAAAGTTGCCCATCCCTGATCAAGACACTGATATGATCGAGTCTGAAGGCACGTACTGTAACTGAACTGTAACTTCAGGCTGTGCTCACATATTTGTTGAAAGCATAAAGGAAGGCTGTATTTTTTAAATGCACATTTTCACTGTAATAGCCTGCTGCCAGTTATCTGCGACATCTATTTCTAATGCTGTGGGTGTCTTTAGTAATTTTGTCTCCAAAGTTAGAATAAAGGACATGGAGCTACACACAGAGATTGCAACCTCAAATTTTTTTCATGACTGCCAGCGCTCCAGGTTAAGCAATTTACATCTTAAGATTGTGTGCATATTAATTGAGAGCTCAGAAATTGTCTTTTTTTTATTCTTTGCTTTATTCTGTCGCGTTCCAGCAACACCGCAGTTTTTCTCATCACATCTCCCGCTACGTCCGCATTTCCATCCCAATTTATTCATGTATTCACTCAGTTTGTGGAACTTGTATGCCTGCGAAACCATTTCAGCAAGCTTTTGCTAGGTAACCAGTTCTTGTTTTATCTCAGCTTGACTTCTGACACGGCAAGCACCATTTCATTGTGAACCGGAGGAGAACAAGGAGAAACATTTCCACGAAAAGTAGTACTGTCAATCAGCCGTAGAGCGACGTCTTTCCAAATCAATTTGCATGTCATGAATATACTTCAAAAACGAGGAGGATATACATCAACCGTTTGAAGTCAGACGTATTTCATTGAAGATTATGACGTGTGACCCATATATCTCCATTCTAGCCTCCTGGGGTGATGTTTTTTCTTTTAGAAAACGATTAAATACAGCCTCAGTCAAAATAAGTGTCTGGGGTGAGAGATAATATGATTGCAGTGAAAAAATACCAACTCAAAAACTGCAAAATAGATATCTTGGCAAGTGAAATAGTCTAGTCTACAAGATTATTTAACTTATTTCTAGACAGTTTGTTTTATTTTGTCTAGATGGCCTTTTTTCTATTGGCAGATCATTTCTTGAAACTGATTATTTTTCGGTACTGTTTGTTGAAACAAACAACATCATGTCTTGAAACAAGCAAAATTATGCCAAAAGTTCACACCAGTGGAATATCGGCTGGCGAGGCAGTTACCTTCAGGAAGTGAACTTTAGTATTGCTACATCCAGCCTTGTCACAAAAAGCACCTAAATGTCCCCATGTTATATATAAGTCACCTAAGCTAAGTTTAAATAATCAGTCAATAGAAAAAGACAGTTTCACTAGAAAGAATTAAGTTAAATAATCATATAATATTTGGTAACACTTTATTTTGAGTGGTCCTTTGTAGATGATTAGTAAACTCTTAACAGATCATCAGTAACACATTAACAACATATCAGTGAAGTAGCAGTAGTGAAGCATCTGAATACATTGAAGTAAATATCTTGTAGATGTTCTGTTGATACATTACTTACAGTAAGTAGATGTGTTGTTAATATGTTACTTCCATTGCGCAAAACCTAACCTTACCCAACCTTACCCAGAACCTAACCCTAATCCTGGGCCTAATCCTAACCCTAACCTTAACCTCAACCCAATACCTAATCCTAACCCTCACCCTGGCCCTAATCCTAACCCTAACCTTAACCTCAACCCAAAAAGTGTCACCAAATATTTTTAGGACAATCTCTTGAGTACAAAGTATATTGACTGGATTTAAGATGTTTTCACTTGCCAAGATATTTTTCAGTGTGACTCATACGTTTTGACGTGTGGAATAGGGTTAGCTGAGGGTCTGTGTGTGTCTGTGGGTGGGTGGTCTCTGGGGCTCAGTAATGACTGTCTAGGACTTTAAGGATTTAGAAGGTGTGCACAGAGGCAACATAATGAAGAGACATCTGACCAGTTTTAGTAGATGAATTTGTTTTGTAGCTTAGTTACTCTGACAGTGGATTAGTCTGAACCCTTTTCGGCTTATTTTGTTCAGGTTAGCTGAGGATTCTTTTGTGTGTGGGTGGGGGGGCTGCTCCTCTCAGGGGCAAAGTAATGAGTGGACGTTTTTCGGAAGCATGGACACATGCAGTCTCCGTCTTTTTCTTTCTCTCCCTCTTTCTCTTTCTCATTCTAACCATTTCATCAGGGCCTGATATAAGATTTTTCTAGCAAATAGCAATTTTAAGGGGCTCAAAAATCAGACAACCAGTAGTATCAACCAGTATCATTTTAGATTTATATTGTAGATTCTACTTTTATACAATAATTTTAGTTTTATAGTGCCAACTCTTTACTGTCACCTTTCTTTAGCTTAAATAAACACCAGTGATTCACAGTCTATAATAATATAAATACAATATACTATATAAATATAGTATAGGCTGTACGTGGCAGCACATGGAGGACATATAGCATTTGCAATGTTGCAGTGTTTTGAGTCATTGGTGTATGTATGTATATCTTTACTCTCTCTTGAGAAGAAAAAGAGAAACGAGGGAGTGTGAAATCATCTCCAAGCAGCCAGAAGTGCGCACACACACACACACACACACACAAACACACAAGGAGCATTTTCTGTTGTGTTGTTTGAGACTATGATTGTAGCTGAGGTTTGGTGCCGTACTCCGGTGGGCTCAGATGAACGAAGTGTGTTCCTGACTGAACATGACCAGCAGCCAGCATGACCTGACACATCAGCTCTCTTACACACACACACACACACACACACACACACACACACACACAAAACACACATGTACTGCTATAGAGAGAGAGAGCAGAGAGATAGAGCTGAGAGAGAGCGATTCGAGGAAATGA